AACAAGGTCAGTGAGAAATATAGGGAATATAGAAAGATATGCATGTTGTTTGCATTTTGGTTGCTAAGGGGATATTAATTATGGCACATCAAACAGTGACGATTGAACTTTGTTTGACTATTTAGCCATTCATGGGTTTCTAGCGCCCTCTATCATTGTAAACCTTATTTCTCATTTTGCAGATCGCTTTAAAAGAATATTGTTATATGTAAAATTGATCACAAAGTCCTTCTCCAGAGGCTGCAACGGGACTTCAAGGTCGATGACACTGCACTGGAATGGTTCAGGTCATATCTTCACTGCAGACGACAGGCTGTAAACATCAATGGAACTGTGTCGGATGAAGCTTCCTTGACCTACGGTGTTCCGCAGGGGTCTGTCCTCGGACCGATTCTCTTCACGTTGTACACTTTCCCTCTTGGGAACGTAGCCCGTCAACATGGTCTACAAGTCCACTTCTACGCAGATGACACTCACCTGTATGTGACATTTGATCCAAGAGTGGCAACTGATGAAAAGGCCATAGCTACAAGGATGACCTCGTGCCTTGCTGATATTTGTCAATGGATGGTAAAGAATTTCATGAAACTCAATGATGACAAGTCTGAATACCTTATAATCTCTTCACCCAACATGAGGAACAAGATCAACTCCGTGGACCTCCAAGTTGGCAATGTATCTGTCTCTCCTACGGAGAGCGCCCGTAACCTTGGGGTCTACTTCGATCAGTCCATGAAAATGGACAGGCACATTTCACAGGTATGTCAGACTGCTTACTTCCAGCTTCGTAATATTGCAGCCATTAGACCATTGCTTACGAGGAAGGCAGCAGAAAGCCTTATTCATTCACTTATTTCATCTAGACTTGATTTCTGTAACTGTCTTCTAGCTGGCCTTCCTTCTGCAACCTTGAACAGACTTCAAGCAGTACAGAATGCAGCAGCACGTTTGCTTAATGGGTTGAGGAAACATGATCACATCTCTCCTGTTCTGGCTGAGCTACATTGGCTTCCTGTCAAGAGCAGAATTGAATTCAAGGTCCTGCTGCTCACATTTAAGGCAATTCATGGTCAGACCCCAGGATATGTGTCATCTTTAATCGAGCGGCGTCATCTTCGCCCTGGACTTCGCTCATCTGGCCTTACTCTCCAGATGCCCATTACTCATCTTAAGGGATATGGAGACCGAGCATTTTCCTATATTGCTCCTCGCCTGTGGAATTCCCTCCCATCATCTATTCGCAAAATTGACAACCTTGACCACTTCAAAGCTTCACTCAAAACTCACATCTTCCTTCAGACATTTAAATGCTAACTTTATTGGAGGAACTCGCGCCTTTGAATGTTTTTTGAAACAGATAAATGGCGCCATACAAATGCTGTGAATCATCATCATTATCATGGAATAATAGGAGTAAGAGCAGTGGTGAAGGTAGGCCAGGAGATTGTCAGACTTTGGAAGTAAGAAAAGTATGGAAGATAAATATTTAGATTGGAGTGGTTGATGAAAATTGTATTTGATGCAGATATAAAGAGATTTATAGTTTCCAGGATTTATCAATATTTCTAGTCTTGGGATATTTTGATACTTGAAGCAGAGATATTTTGTCTTTGTTCCATTGCTATGATATTGTCAGTTTCATTATTCATTCTATAACCTTACTTGTGTGTTGGTTTATCCAAATTTGTGAATGTGTTGCTTTATATGAGTTTTATATTGACTGTTACTTATTTGTTTAAGTATTTTGGTCAGGTATTTACCTGTGTTAATGTTGAGAGTTTTTTGATTGACTGGGTGGGTATTAAATTGGTCTATAGTTACCTGGATGTACTCTTGTCCCTTTTTTATGAAGGAAAGTAACGTTTGCAATTTTTATTTCAAACCTTATTGGAACCTTGCCAGTTTCTTAACACAATTAATTTAAATATATATGCCAGTGGATGTGAAATTTAGGGAGCTCTATATTTCATCAATTGCTCTGGACTGTTATCACGACGACATGTCTTTTTTGGTATCAAGTAGCAAAACTTGACTTCTAACTTCAACTTCAGTTATTGGTTTCGAATTCCAAAAATATTTAAATTGCTCTATATATAGTCTGCCCCAAATAACCACCATATGCCATATTTTCATTCGGCAATTCATTTGCTAAATTCGGTCCAATATTTACCCCGAAAAAGTCGTTAAATACATTATCAACATTAGATGCAGATATAATTTGCATATCTCCTCCATGAACCTACTGAATAAGTCTATCCACCTGATCACTTCTCGGTGATATTTACTTTCCAACTTACGATTCATTGATAATGTAATTCAATTGACCCTTTTTTAGGGAATATTTGTCAGTACATTTCCGTACTCTTTGTACTTATCAACAAGACCCTGACGATGATTTGAAATAATAAATTTTGAATACATCGTAGTTTTACATGAAAAGATGTTATGATCCCTCGAGAAATATCCATGTCATGCAAAATTACTCGGTCTGTGCAAGTGGGCAAACAAAAAGAAAAGAAGGTCTACTCTTAAATATCAATTTTCACAGGCGCGATTGACTCTATGTCCATGTGCGCACGTGCGGGAGATCTGAGTATACCCACTTTTAAAGATGTAGACCAGCCCAACATCGAATTAATTGAGCAAATGCAGAAAAACACGGATTAGTAACTGAACTTAGAGAATATATTCATGAAAAATGAAGTATACTAGCTCATTTACTTTTAGAGATCCCTGCAAAAATGTTAATATCTTTCAGTATTTTGTATGGATTTGTTTGTTATCTTTTTCTTCTTCAACTTACTTCATTGAATTTTGAGAAGGTGTATAAATCCAAATTAAAATAATATATTTGTAAAAAGTCCTGAAATAAATGAATTATCATTAAAACATATGAAAACAAAAATAAACAAAACAAAAATTGTTTAGCTATATAAAAATACTGTACATAAAATATGATTCAACAAAAAGCTGTAACAAAAGTAGGAATATCCATTTGGGTGATGATCGATGTAGCTATGTACTGCAGACTATCTGAGCATAGTTATTTGTTTTATACACCCCGGGCCGCGAAATTTCTATTCCCAAACAGATTTGCAATTTCTTATATGTCCGTTCTTCTCAATGACTGATATGTTCTACGTCATTAGCAGCTTGGAAAGAGTTCACAAACAATGAGACTTTGATTTGTTATTGCTTTGCCTCACTATTTATAAAGGCAAAAAAAACTGAATAAACTGCGACTTCAACCCACAACTCTATGATTGTATTACGCTGACCTTACCGATTGAGCCAACGATGGGTTGATAAAAAGTGATTGTGCATGATTTCTATAACCGTATCACTCACCCTAATGGTTACGTCATTGCTAATGACGTAACATATCAGCCAATCAGATGACCGGAAATATTAGCATTGGCAAACCTGTTTGGGGAAAAAAATTAGCCCCGGGCCAGGGGCGGCGCTCAGTGGGCCAGGGAGTAACCAAAGTGCGCCCAAACTCATTTTTGGTGATTTATTTTCTTCAATTTTTTTTGGCCCAGTTGATAGGTAATACATTTAGGAATACCTCAGAAAATTTTTAATTCCGGTATGCACAATAAGGGTATAAATTTACTCCTTCAAACAGCAAAATCCTACATATTCACAGCTTTAGTGCAAAAGTGACTTATTTCATAAATCTTTCAATTTAACATGAAGCTTTTAAGTTATTGATATGAAATTGCTCTCACATATTCCTGATAGTTCATTTCGTTGCATGAATAGGTTAAGATTAATAGAAACACAATCTTCATGATGTATTATAGGGTAATTCAATGAAGAAAAAATTAACTAATTATCCATGTTTTTTATAAATCCAGAGGAAATGTTTAGATTTCTGCAGAGTTCTGCTTAAAATGTAATACCACCATTTTCTCTGATGCCTAAGCTTTAAGTTGATACCAAATTTGGCTGCCCGATCCTGACCGTTGTTATGTTAGAGCCGATTTCCCTTGCCACATTGCCCCGAAAAACGTGTTTTTTTTTTTGGGGGGGGGGGTCCGCGACTGAATCATGAAGGATTTGCGGTCATAAATCACGGCGCGTGGGGGCGCGTGACACTTGTTCTGACAGCGCGGACCAAAATAAATACATTTTTCGGGGCAATGTTGCAAGGAGAACGGCTCTAACAAAATAACGGGCAAAATCGGGCAGCCAAATCTGGTATCAACTTAAAGCTTATACATCAGAGAAAATGTTATTATTACAATTTAAGCGGAAATCCCTGGAAATCCAAACATTTCCTCTGGGTTTATACAAAATAAATCCCCCAAAATGAGTTTTGGCGCACTTTGGTTCCTCCCTGGCCCACTGTGCGGCGGAGCGTCTTCCAAAAATTGGGAGGGGGGGGGCACCAAAAAAATAGGGCACATTCTGGAAAAGGGGGCACCTGCGATGAGAAACTTATAAGCGGAAATATACAACTTTTTAGACATTGGAATATTTTCCTACGTTGTGATTAGTTATGAGGGATTATTTCAACACTTTTTTCTCTCTTTACGTAGTCCATGATACTACTTCATCATACTTTGCAGTATGGTGTGATGGTCTGAATATTCATTTGCGAGAAAGAGGTCGCATTGTGAACAATTACATCTTATTAAGAGGAAAAACAAAAGTGGTGGGGCTTTAAGCACACTCTGATCATCAACGATTAAATGAACATTTGATAAGAAACTTAATTATATAAACTCTAAATGCGGGAAAATAAAGAGAAACTTGCTCTAATAGTCGCTTTATGGACGACAGCGTAGGCCTACTTCTTATAATCTCCCTCTCTCTCTCTTCCCTCCGATATCCCCATCCCATCTCTGTCGCTCTCGTTCTCTCTTTTTCTTTTCTCTCCTCCCCTTGCCCCTCTTTCTATTCATCCCTCTCTCTCTCTCAACATAACTATATGTCCCTCATCGTTTCGCAAACACAGAAGACCGACCATAAGTGTACAATGTCACCAGCAGCACTTTATCATTTAGCAAACTTTTATTCATCAAAATTGGTTTCAAAACGACACTCAACGTTGACCTATGACTGCAGGTTTGAAAGCAGTGAATTTCTACTTTGACATTATGTATGACACTTTTAGTTCAATATGAAGGAAACATGTAAAACGACTGATAGAATTTATAAAAAGGACAACATAATTGCTTAAAACATAAAAACACAGTTTCTTTTTGAAAGAAAAAGAAAGACAAAATACCGTATGGTAGGCAATTAACATTTTTAAGGTCACTAAAGTTTTCTTTGATTCAAACTTGTAACATAACACTATATTTCTTTCATTATCAGAGTATCACTTATGAACTAAGAAAAATAGTACAAAAATGACAGATCCTTGCCGTCACAAAATGTAGAATGTACACTGCCCTCATAATTAATTCATACATAATCATGTTATCATCACAAAAATGATCGTTCGTAATCATTTCTCTCGCACGTGATTACTAATCATATTTAATTGCAAGAAACTCTACAACACAACGTATCACCAATATACAAGCAGATGGTATCTCCGAAGTCGCTTACTAGCTGTAATACATAAACATGATACTCAAGAAAACGTATGTGTGAAAAATTCCAGACTGGATAGCATTGTACGGAAGCCTCAAGGAACGTCATACATACTTGAGGCGAAGAACAAGCTCTATAGAAAACTATATACAAAACTATTTATAACACAATATACAAAATCACTCTAAAAAATGTGAGGTTGCACAATTCTTGGATACAAACATCGAAATAGTATTACATGTATATATACATAACATTTTCTTTCCATTTTAATTTTTAACTCGAAATTAAACAAACAAAACTCGTAAAAAATTCGTCTTTTACATCACAAATTTCGACTAGGCTTATAGTCTCAATATTTCCATACTCGTTCAAAATATATATAAAAAATATCTGAATCCCAGAATAAGATTACAGTTATTTCACAATCTGTTTGTAGCTCATGTTGGCGATATTTGACACATATTGTACGTGAAGCATTGGTGTCAGATGAATCAAATGAATATCATGTGAAATTCCAATTATTTACAAGTCTTGTAACATAATTATTACAACAAACTGAAACGTTACCTCGTTACAAACTGTCACTCATAGTTTTGTTTTAAAACAACTACAACAGTTTCTGTTGGAATGATATAATTGCTTTCATCATTGACATACTATATTTAATAAACATTTCTACAAGTAAAAAGCAAATGTCCGTGGTCGTTTCAAATATGAAACTTTGTTTTGTATGAAAATCTGGAAACATGTATGCAAGGGTAACAACTAGTGTATAAATGGAAAATTGAGAATTATAGTATATTCTCCAGGTAATTAGATTGATCAGTGTAGCGACAGTCAAGAAAACAAAGGAATCTTCAAAATATCACAAAGAATTCTGCATCATAATATTGTGTGAACGAAATTCAGTGAAATTCAATAACATTACATTAAAGTTCCCTGTGCAAAACTATATACAGTGTATGTTATATTTGCGCAATATGATTTTTTGTTGTTGGAAGTACAGTGCATCTTCATTGATTATGTTCTGTGTTAATACACGTGACAGAAATCTTCGTAATTTATCCTTTTTCTGTAATATCACCAAATGTTTTGTACATACTAACTGAGCTAAAGACACATAATATACAAGCGATTTATTCCTCTCAGTACTAAGCTGCAGTCTATAAGTATAGATGTCTGCGAAAAATACATTATAAAAACATTCACTCTTTTCATTCAGTAGTTGACTGATTTATTCACTTTTCTTCGTGCAATCCAAATACTGTAAATACTTCAAGTTAAAAAAAGGTGTCAGCAAACAATGTTGTTTCTGCAGTTGATATTACACTTATGTACAAACGTGCGATATAATATATATATATATATGAATTCACCTTCTAAAATGCATCACTATCAACGCGTCCATGAAATTTCTCTGTCAGTATATTTTGAAGCAAAAAACAACAACAACAACATCCCTAAGTCTTGAAAATATTATTCAATATTATTTCAATGAGTCAAAGTTAAATATGAAGTTCATGTAACATATAGAATTCAGGAGAATAGAGTACATCCATTTATCTTGTCTAAACTCATCCAGATTACTAACATGATCTGGTAAGTTCCGTAAGTGCGAATCGCCACGGTAAAACTTTCGCATGAGTGAAGGGAAACAAACGACCCTTTTTTCGCAATTCAGCTCAAATTCTTACGATATAACGGGTGTATATTACAGGTATTTTATTTTTGTCAATGTTGTTGTGTTGAAATAGTTCAACCTTTAAGTGTTTAATGAATAATGCGAAATTCGTTTATATAAAGATGCACAATCTGCTCTGTGTACATAAAAGAATCTATGTCAACAAAGAATGATATATCAATAATATTACATTAATGACAGTATTTACATATGTACAAAATAGTATGTAATATTGGTATGATATGAAATCTGGAAGATAATACATTAAAATCAATACATTGTATTGTGGAGCCAATGGGTTCATTATATTCTGTTGATAGAATGTGTTGACGCAATCAGAACAGATATAAAATATTCCAGAGTCTCGCAGACTATTGATTATGTACAAAAGAGGAAACTACTTATATTTATGCAATCCTCCATCATATGACTCTTGAATCAAAAAATCATTCATCATTACAACACTATAATATATCAATGCAACTTATGTATGTGAATAAGTCAGTGAGAATACAGTACATCAATTATAGTCTTCATAACTATCATATATTAGTATGTTCTTTAGTTGCTTTAACATCATGAAACATATATTCACAAAGATTACGATGTATACAAATATCTGTAAATTATAACACTTCTTCTACAGTAGTGCAAAAACAAAGAAAATGTATATCACAGAAAGGGTGTAACAATCTTGGCAAAATATATTACAGCACATCTATCAGTTTAATGATGAGTAATTGAGTTTTAAAAATTGTCTAATGCTGCAAATACAGTTAAAGACATCTAAACTGAATAGCTATTATTTAATGTATTCATTGTAATACAATTCAAAGCAAGATAAACCCAAAATTCACATTACAACAGTAAAAGATGGACATATAAAATGAATAGCTATCATTGAATTTACTCAGTGAGGGCCTAATATATACGGTGGTACTGATATTACACATAAACTCAATAATATATGGTACATATCAGTATATCTGACAAAAGTAAAAACATTTTTTGTAAAGGGAAATAGTATTTCTATCTTTTGCAACAAGTCGATTCTGTACGGATGACAGTGATCTCAATAGGATATCCAAAATTCAAACTAATCAATTTATATAAAGAGACTATTTACACATTTAACGTTTATTTTTAATGACATTATAATACGCATCCGCTGCGTCGATCAAAGCATCTAGCAGGTATAGGTATCAGTAGTGTCTCTGTGGTGTAGTGCGGGATAACTTTCCCATTTGTTCCAACATACAAAATGACTAAAATTTCACCGTTTCAAAAAGGTATGACTCAAATGGGTTTATTCTTGATAAGTTGCTATCCATAATATATTTTGAGTAGTGCCCCAAGGAAAAAGGCAATTAGGAGTTATCCGCAACTAGGTCACAATCACAATTATCACCGAGCAGTTTATTTGAGATCCGCATAGACTTAGTGATCTCATATTTCAAACATTCTTTACTTTCTTATTATTGGTCCTATTTATTTCAAACTTTAAATCAAATGTCAATGCACATGATTTAAAGTACTTCGTTCGAATGATACATAAGTAAAAGAAATATGATATCGACCAGTGTGAGAGGAAGAAAAGGGCCTGATGGCATCAGTAGTCAATTCATAAATCTACCGAATTTAATATTATTCGATTGGTTTTTAGTCAAAAGTGATATTAATAAGCCACTACATAAATAGATTCTGCGCATGTGCAGATAGAGATCAGACAAATATTGGATACGTGCTCATGAAATTTATGTCATCATTATTAATGTATGCACCGACAGTTCTAAGGAACACAGGTGGAAGCATTCTTCTCAAGAGGGCGAACAAATATACATCCATGACTTTGGCAGGGATAATTCTAAAATGCACTAAGTGGGGAAGCTCCATGTGTAGAAGATATGTGGATATTTTGGTCAGGTGTATCATGGGCTAACTACAAACTGGTTTATTTAGCGCGATTACAAATACTGTTACCGCTTTCATAAGTACAAATCAACTCATTCAAATCTTCTCGCAAGAGTCACTAGAAGAATGGGTCACTCACGTTTTGCTTCAGTTTCACAATGCAGGTATGTCGTTTATGTGAAAGAAGTGGAAACGAAAGCGATATTTGTGTATACCTAGATACGTATACTTCGAACCTTGTGTTCATGATCTGGACGGAACCAATGATGTTTGAACCACTGCAAGAATTTTACGGGTGAGCTGGATCATTTCCCCACCTTTGAATTGGTCTCTGAAGACCTCGTGAGGAATCTGTGAGGAGGCGCATCTATCCGGGTACCGAGGCCGTTGATCACCCACGAGAGAACTGAGCTGGCATACATTCTGGAGAAATTCTGATGATATTACGGGTTCACTCGTGTGTTCACTGACGTCACGGGCTAGACCATAAATGTTATGGGTACAACTGTAACATCCTCTGATAGCAAGTTGAGCAGCTTTGAGGGCCTTTTCTACACTCTGGTGGCACTTGTACGCCACCCACTCTAGTGACGGCTCATCATGTGGGTTAAGATCGTGTTGGGCAGCACGGAGATCTTCTTGTCCCTGGCGTAGCCAACGGCGAGCATTGCGGATATCTGGTGATCTTGAAGCTTCAGTGAACAAGCTCTCCCAGTTAGCTGATCCAGGACCCCCTCTACCCCCTCCTCCAGAACCAGCTCCTGCCCAAAATCCTGATTGAAATCCTCCGAAGTCAGTATACCGTCGTCGGTCTTCCCTTGCTCTCTGCTCTGCTGATTTGAAAAGGTCTTCATACGATGAAGTTGTTGTTGAAAGACCCTTTCCTAGTCTTTGTAGCTCGCTCTGGAGATGTTTAAATGCTTCGTCAAACAGTTCCTTCGAACCTTCTGGATGCTTGTCTGGATGCCATTTTAACATTAATCTGCGAAGAGCCTTCCTTTTCTGCTCCTCTGGAAGCTGCCAGATCTCCTCCAATTCTGCAGTCACCTGTTGCTTTGCTTCTTCAATATCAGTCGGAAGAGATGATTCCCGATGACCAGAAAGACACGGTCCTGCATCATCTGAGTCTACTTTGTCAGATGGAACAAGCTCCATACCTGATGTGGACTTCGGGATGTGAATCTTGTGCATGTCCAACACATTGGCTTCTATCGGGCTGTCCTGTCCGATGTCGATGAGATAAACTGACTTGAGCGACTCGTTTCGTATCCTCTTGACCACTACTGCGTATATGTAGTAGTCACCGTCTTCATCGGTTTGTGCGTACCCTACATAATCGCCTTTGCTGAAAGACGTCCAGGGGTTTTGTTCTATGAGGTGGTAGAGTTGTTCTGGAATAGTACTTCCAGGATTAGGCAACTTGAAATTTGCGTCTTCTTCCATGTTTTCTACGGCAATGCCGAACTTCGCTAGTGCTTTTGGGATGGTAGCTGGAGATTCTTGAGATAGCAGGATAGACATATAATTTCTATCCTCAAACACATTTCCAAGGAGTTGGTTGACATGGATTGCAACACTTAATAGTGTTTCCATTCTATTTTCTTCTTCACTATGTTGTACAAACAGCTCATTATCACTGTTGATGAAGGAAGGTACTTCGGTTTCACTACCCTCTATGTCTTGGCCATTGATTTGCAGAATCGAATGTAACTGCTGCATACATGTAATCTTCAGTCCAGTTAGGCGATCTCTAAACTGTTTCCTGGTCTCCTCGGCAACTTCTTCCCGCCTGTTGTGCCTCATGATGGAGCAAACCGCCCTAAGAAACTCCTTAGACTGTAGGATTTGAAGTCTTCTTCCAAACTCACATGGTTCGTTTCCAGACAAGAAACACGTTTGCGAATCGTTACCAGTCTTGCTCAACATTTCTTTCACTTCTGCACTTACTGCTTTCGGTTTCATCCTTTCAGGAAGCCTGGCGATAGATTGTCGCGCGATTCGTTCGTGACTTGGAAAGATCTTGACGAGTGGTAGATTAGATCGAAGAAGTCGGCTGGTGTAGTGTTCGACATCATTCACTAGAAGGCGATCTGATTGTTCCAAGCTTTGCTGACATGAAGGTAGATACAAGGAGTGTCCGGGAACAAATTCAGCAACTATCTGTGTAGTTTCGACCTTTATTAACTCTTCATAAAGGCCATACGTGGCCTTGTCTACCATGTTTAAAACATTCGGGTTTGACCATGCACTCTGTCCCCTTTCGTAGAGGCTTTCAAGAACAAAAGCATATTGGCGTATAGAAGGTTTCACTGTTCCGCCAAGAATCTGAAATAACTTGAAGAAAGGAACCCACTTGTCTGGCAGCTGGTATAGAAAAGGCTCCAGCTTTCCTTCCATCGTACGTGATATCTGTTCTGCTTTGACTAAGCGATGCTCATCTTCTAGCTCCAAAAAGACAATAGGTACGTTTCGCAACTCATCTCTGATGATACAGCACCTTCCACAGGGGTGTTCCTGAGAGCAGTTTTGTCCTGCGCACTTGGAGGAAACGAATGTCAATATTTCCTGTAGTACACTAGCTAAATTTTCAGGGAAAGATATCTTCTTGTCGTTCTTCTGTTGGAGTCTGTTACATATATTCCGTAAATGCTGGATAACACTCATACATTCAGGATCCTGTGCAACGCCTATTTTCTCATCGAACGTTTCTTTACAAGACCAGCATTTCCCTGAGGCCGCATATGTTGGCAGGATGCTGCTGATGGACCATATCAGTTGTGTGTGTTCAAAAGAACTTGATCCAGAATACCTCATGAGAGTTCCTTTCTTCATGAAAGGTGGATGAATAGATTTCATCTCTGTGCTGATGCCGTCACTCACAAGAAAGTCAACCATACCGACTCGCTGTAGAAAAGAAGAGTCTTTGTGAAGATCACATCTCCTTGTCAATTCAGATACAAGGGCACGTGACTTCTTTTCCATCTTCTTGAGGTCAGAGTGTGATTCCTGCACCTGCTGGGCAAAGGAGAGGAATAGGTCTTTGGTAATAACAACTTGTAGTCCTATTTCTCGAAGGAATTCAAGGCCTAAACAATCTATGACGCGCTTGGGTGGAAACTGAACCTTGTTCAACATTAGAGAAAATATCTCGACATGTGGGTCATAGAAGTCCTCGGCCTTTAGCAATTCCCCATTTGCACCGGTTATGAAACGCAGTTGACTTAATCTTAATCTCTGTCTAGCTTCCTTCCTAGCTTCACTAAGAGACCTCTCTGTGTTATGAAGGGGTAGCTCTTGTAGTAGTTTTTTGATCCGCACAAGATGTTCAAGACGACTGCCCTCGCTGAGTTGGTCAAAGACCGGCAGAATGTACTTTTCATATACGTCCATCTCTGTTGTATCAGTCAATCCTAGCTTCTTGTATAGAGATTTAAGCGATATGCTGTACTGTAGGAATATAGCACGAGTGGTACAAACCCATTTATCTTGTTCCTTTTCCGGAATCATACTTGGGAGGACAAGAACTGTGTCGAAATCTCCGATACTGACAAAGTCACCTGCAATCGATTTGAAGCAAGGCAGGCTCTTCAACCTTTTGAAATCAGCTTGGCTCTCACAGTTACTGAAGAATCTCAGGATTTCTTCATGTTGATCAGCGTTGAGGTTTCTGAATCTCCTGAAGTCTCTATCAACCCAGTACATCAAAGCATCTAAAACCCTCGTGCTATCGCCCTTATGTGTGACGAGATGATGTATTAACGTATAATTGTCTTCGCGAAGAATGGATTTGTTGACCTTGTAGACGTTCAGTGATTTAAGTGCGGAGTAGATTGGCCAATAATCCGACTCGGTTGGCTGGACTATTATCGTAGAGGATAAACTGATAGGTGCCACAAGCTTAATTTCCCGATAATACTGAGTTTTTGTTTCAGTGACAGGTAATATCGCCCAACGGCCAAGTTCAACTCTGATATCGTGAGCAAAATCAGTCCACTTGGTCTTCTCTGTGCGTAAGGATTCAAGAAGACTCCACAAACGTTCAAACCATTCAGATGAAAGGTTGTTCTGGAGCGTTATTATTTCATCTGAAGCACACTCAAGATAAGGGTGGCAATCATCAAGAAGTGCAGATACTGCTCTCACATCAAGCTTACAAAAGACATCGGCATTTCGTGGTAGAGTGTCTAGAAAGTCGATTTGTAGAAACCTATGACTCTGAGGCTTGAAAAGATCGCAGAATTCTGATGCAAAGACTGGCTCATCACGTGATAACCTCCTCAAGTTCCCATCCTGAGTGAAGAGCAATGGTAGTCCGTGGAGATTCTCATTGAAGTTAGACTTTGTTCCCTTCTTGCAGTAAGCTATGAGTCCCTTCAGTCTCTTCTCGTCGTGGATCCTTGATTTTGAAAGTGTCATTGGTAATTGCCTCTGAAGGGGGTTGTCTCCGCGGAGGAAAGACACCACATTCGAAGATAAAACGTCAAGAACTTCATAGTTTACTGATTCATGGTTCATGGTTTCCTGATTGAGATGCTTGCATGCATTGCGGAGACGGTGCATTATCCATGTCGGAGACTCTAGTAATGGATATGTGATTTCGATCAGTGTCTCCTTCAGATTTTCAGCCTTCAAAGAGCTACTTGTAGAGAATGTGTAGTGGTCACTCATTTGGTCTGGCAGTGTGTTGAAATAGCCCACTTTTGATTCGTCTGGAGACTGCATGGGCACGACAGGGGTCTTCCATGTTAGGAAAAAGTCGTTGTTGCCATCATCTTTTCTGTATAGAGAAGGAAATAGCATCAGGGCTTTCGAGGCAACAATTTCATATACAGTGGCTTCAAGCGCTTTCCAGTACGGCCCTTTGTCGCTGACTTTAGGAAAGAAGGTGTGGTATTTATGAAGGAGTTTCAAAGTGTGAGTTTTCTGTTCACATGACATTGATCCTGACCATTCATATTCCCTGACAAAGAATTCCTGTATCCACAACAGTAAGTTCACGTAAGCCGGTGCGATAACTTTCTGGATGAGGTGAAAGTTCCACTTTGTTTGTTCATCTGTTATGCTTCCTTCCCACAAGTGTCTTCTACTCTCATGGTCTAAGGCGAAGTATCCGTGTACGTGAACTGGAAGTCCCGTTGCAATGGGAAGGGGTAAGAAGCAGAAAGCTGTTCCTTTGAGTCCCTCTTTTTTACCTGTCAGACGGGCAGCAACAGCTCCAACTGGAAGTAGTTTATATTTTCGCATTATGTTTTCTTCAGCCGTGTCTGCACTTCCTACTTGTTGACATATCACCCAATCCTCATCTCTTCCTTTCCCTTTCAATTTCATCTGGTATACGACTTCTGCTGGTTCTGGTTGCCAGGTACTGTCATCCTTTGCTGCTCTACTGATATCTTGAACTTTGCGCAAGAAATCCATTTTCTTTTCACCTTCTACTTCGGTTATCTCTGCTGTGATAGCATGAGTAGAGCCAATCGCTCCTAAGTCTGTTACCTCTGAGATGCTGATTTTAGTGATGTTTTTCAGAAACAAAAGACTCTCGAATGCAGCATCCTCAAAATCTTGTAGTAGCTTCCGAATCTTTTTAGCTCGCCATACGTTTTCACTGAGTGTCGAAGCTTCCTTCCGCAGTGGAAAACGAAAAACAGTAAAGTCCTCTTCTCCATCTGCAAGTATGTCTTCCAAGTAACATTGAAAAGTATCTGGATACGAAGAACGGACACTGCCATCAACTCTTAGCAGACGGCCCGGCTTAGTCGACGTTGCTCCCGGAATATACTTCAGAAGAGGGTCAAACATGCATAATCGTTCACCATTGGAGATGAAACTTGGGCAATCCGTGAGTTGATACACCGCATTGAAACCAACCCCATATCGGCCTATCTTTCCCATGTGATCAGCTTTGCTACCTTCTCCAAGATTCTGTATCCCACGAATATCCTCATCTGTAAAAGACTTGTTGTTGAAGACACAAAGAGCAGGACCCTGCAAAGCTTTCATGTCATCTCCTAGAAGCTTTTTTTCATTATGTGAGCGAGGATCGTAGACAAAGTGGATTTCAGTTGCCCCAGCATCATCTGCATTCTGAAGAAGTTCTTTTAGTATTGTTTCATCAGACGGGTATGAATCAAGAATTCTCTTGATACGGTTTGTAAGTTCCTCATGCTGGCCAAATTCTTCTCCTGGGAAATCCATGTCATATGGCCGGAGAAACTGTTGTCGAACATCCTTTACTTTCAACTTCTTTGCAAGCATAAAACTGATTCTCATGTGACACTTATGGAGTTTGACTCTGACGTCGTATTCAAACCAGTTAACGTCACTGTAGCAGAGATCTGATACAGGCCTCATGCACATGTGCTCATCTGGGAGAAATGCATCTGGAGTTGGTTTCCCATCATCATCATCTTTTAGGAAACTGGACAGTCGATCGGCAGCTAGGATAGCAACCTCCAAGACCTCGTCGTCTAAAGGTTTCCCACTGCTATACTCGTGTATAGATTGGAGAACACCTTGATAGTCTCTGGCATCAAATTCCCTCTTCAATGCTGCACGTTCCAGAAGAATGGGATATTGTTTCAGGAACTGAGAAGCTTTAAATAGATACGGTGGAAGATCTCTACCTCCATAGGCAACCATAGAGGCCACTACAAACTTGCGATCTACAAGGAAGAATGATTGATTCTGAAGATCGACGTTGGAGATGTCTGGACTATTTTCTTTACAAGCAGTTTCAACACGCTCGTAGACCGCCTTGCATATCATTTGTAACTGATGATCAGAAATGCATTCAGTATTCTTTTCGTAGTGAATACGAAAGTTCGAGAACTGCTTGAGTACGTCTTGGACAGAGGGATATTTATCTGAAAGACCAAGAAAGTGCTCTACTTTCCAGGAAAGCTTCCACTGTTTTGATTCATCTACAACGTGTGTTGTGCTGCTTACCAAATATGTTTTAGAATGAGAGTACACATCATTAGCAGATGCATAAGCACAGTCCGTTTCCACCCATGGTAGAGCTGGATCTCTGTTTTCTTTACACATGATAGGCAAGAATGGGATACTCGAAAGCCGTTCTTTGAGGGTTTTTTTCTGATTCCAATCACTCCCCAACATCTCCGACAGATACTTCAGTACAGCATGGCATCTCGTTTGAGCTCCTTCCATACAGCTTAAATGCATAATGTGAACAGTCTCGCATCGCTCGACGAAAACATCCTCATCAAGATAGTCTTTCACCATGCCTAGCTTACTAAGTGACGCCAATGTGTCAGTGGCATTGAATTTTTCTCCCAGAGGGAAAACCTTTTCAGACTCCGAGTACAAAGGTGCAGCTTTGCCTTTGGGGTGAACTAGATCACAAGGTTTCCGCAGTTCAGTTCCCCCCTCTACTGGTATGCATTCTACATCTTTTAGTTTCTGCTGTAGTGTGTCTTCACTTTTATTGAGTGCAAACAAAACGAGTTGATTTCTGTTGTTGGCCGACAGCTGACTGATTTGTGGTAGAAAAACTTCATTGAAGAACCTGTTGAAATCATAAGTTCTCTTGAGAACTTCATCTATCAGATGTACTCTCTTTAGGGCTCTCCACGTTTTTTCGGTCAACGACATCACTTCCATTGAGGGGAGATGGTCGCTTAGTACCTTTGTTACCACATCACTGACTGATGTCTCTTTCTGAACTTCTTCACTAAGGAACACAACATTCGTGAACTGATGCGATTTGCCATCTTTCCAGAACAATGATGGTTCACGGCCATCAAACCCATGTACCATTGCCTTGTAGAAAGCATCAAACAGTGCTGAAGATTCTGAATTCTTTGGTACCTCATCAATATCCGGCCACAACTGTTCAGGAGACATATTTGATCCGTATGTGTCCTTCACTTGTTGAATAAACTCACTGTCAGACAAGAGTGAAACGTACGCTCTGCATATCACATCGGCCAAAAGTATGTGATTCCATTTCTCAGATATCAACCTTCCATCGGGCACTGGCATGTGAAGACTCCGGCGATCCTCTTTTACAGAAAAAGACCCGTTGATATGTACCGGGAGCATGCTGTTAATTGAGAGGGGAAGGAAGCAGTAGATCTTCTTCTCAAATTTAGACATTGGTAGTCTATGAAAAGGAAAGGCAACCGCACCTTCTGGTGAAAGTCCACACTCTTTGCCATCTGGAGAATTTGCTAGAGATGCTGCCTGTTCTGAAGTCTTGCATATCACTTTGACAGTGTCCAGGTCTCCACTAACTTCTGGTTTCTGTGACATCACTTCATTTCCCTTTGCAGTCATTGTGCAGCGGAACGATTCAGTTGACACAACGGTATCGTCATCCTTCACCCTAGGAGAGTGTATGGTCTTCTGTATGGTGAGTAACTCCTCAGCACTGGTAGGATCGCTAGAATTCTCAGAAAGGTAGAACAGGGAAACCTTCTTCACCTGTTTGGTGAACATCAGGAGGTTTTGTGATGATTCCCACATTTTCTGCATCAGGTTGATCATTTTCTCCCCATCGTAGCTCTCCTTGCATATTTGGCTTTTCTGTGCAGCTTCTTTTGAACGGAGGGGCAGTCTAAAGAGTGTTCCGTTGTAGATGAATGGCTCATTTCCTCCACTGAAATCGAGCCCAAACACTCCATTGAATGGCTTGAACTGATCTGGGAATCTCCGGAGTGGTTTGGAGTTATTCAATCTGAGACGAACCCCGGGTTGACTCTTGTTCGGGAGAACGTTTCCAAGGTGTGTGGTATGAGGGTCGAAAAACTGCATGTAGTTCCTACTAACCAAACTTGGAACATCAGTTAGGCGGTACACCGAGTTGAAACCGGTCCCAAACTTCCCAATCTTTTCAGCGTCCATTTCCTTGGTACGCCCTCCAAGACGGAGAATGTTTTCAAAGTCTTGGTCTGTGAATACGGCATCGTTGTATACCCAAAGGGCTGGTCCCTGACAAGACTTCATTTCAGGATGGAATAGTTTCAGGTTTGCATTTTCGTTTTTTCTCATATCAATGAGAAAGCGAACTTCCTGAGCTCCTGCATCTTCCGCATTTTGTATCATTTCACTAACGATGGCGGTGTCCACATAGTTGTTCTTGAGAATATTCCACAAGCGCATAGTTAAGGGTTCATGCTGCCCAGCTGGTGTGAAACCCTGCAATTCTTCTGTATCTAGGAGAAGTCGACTGACAGGTCGTACATGGAGGAATATTGCAAGTTCCATTGAGACATCTGAATGAATCAAAGTAAAGTCTTCATCGTCATCCATCTCCTCATTGTCGGTGCTTTGTCTCAACCAGTCTCTGTCCACGTATGCGCTCTCATCAACTGGAATGAGATGACATTCTCCTCTTTGCGATGGAACGAGTAAGCGTACCCGAGCTTCTTCTGAGAGCTCTCCTGCGGCGTTTAGATGGTGAAGGATCTGCAGTACAAGTTGGCGCTGTCTTTGTTGGAAGGTAACATTTGCTCCTAGGACGTCACATTTGCTCTTGATTTCATGTAGTATTTCAACCAGAGCTTCCGAATTAGTGTCGATGTTCCTTTTGACCCCAAGCGCCTCAAACAAATCCTTAAACGCACAAGTAGCCTGGGGAATAGATGCCATGTAAGGAGCTAGATCGAACGGAAGATTACCTGTACACATTTTGCTTGGTTCTGAAAAGCCGTTGCCATTCCAAACACAACACTCTACTCGATCCAATAAACAGTTTCCGACGTTTGAATCACGTTGCCATTCTTTCCTTAGAAATGCATAGATCTCCTTGAGCATCGGTATTATGTCTGTTACATCTTGTTCTGTTCTGTCTGTGGCATACTTCACACAATGTTCTATTTGTGCTATGACGTCCGAGATCACTGGAGTGTGGAATGTTATTCCAAGCAGAGTGAATGCTGTGGAAAACAGAACATCTTGTTGAGAAATAAAAGACTTGGAAGCTCCAGACATTAGCACGGCTTGTTTCGTTTCTATCAAAATCTCTTGGGGAGTTGTGAGACAGGATGAAGTGTTCCCACGCCATTTGATACCCGGTGGGTAATATTCTGGCGGAGACTGTTTACAAGGGATACATCGTTTGTTCATCATGAAATCTCTTACAGTGCTGCCGTCGACCAGTGAACGGTCAAAATGACCAGGGTTCTTCCCGAGGAGATCAAGTAAAGCTCTGGCCTTCTTGGGGCATTGTGTTTCCTCAACTAGATCAACACATGCAACCATCTCAACTGGAGTAACTTCATTCGGTCCTCGCATACCAAGGCGGTTGAACACCGGCATCAGATGAGCTAATTCAAATGGTGCACCTGGAAATACTCCCTGAAGCTCAAACAATTCACGGAGTGTAGGGTCATCATGATGCATGAGGGCGCAGGGTGTCTTTAGTTCGGCTCCTCCTAAGACGGTGATGCATTTCACATCTCGAAGTTTCTGATGCAGGTTGCCGTCCATTTCAAGCGCAAAGAGAATGAGGCGGTCTCTAAGATCCTGTGGCACTTTATCTAAATATGGCAGGAACGCTTCATCAAACAGTCTGTTCAGATTGTATGTTCTAGTCTCTACCATATCACGTACTCCTGCCCTCTCCAGTGCTTGCCACGTCTTCTTTGATAGCTCTATTACTTCCACCATACGTCCACTGTGACAGTACTCCTTCAGATACGTTGTCAAAATCTGTACAAAGTCGTCCTTGATTCCTTTCATCGTTTGCAGTTCCTCGCCGAGAAATACTACATTGTGAAACTGACGAGGTTCGTCATTTGTCCAGAAAACTGCTGGTTGTTTGCCATCCAATCCGCAAATTATCGTTTTGTAGAAAGCATTAAACAGCCCTGAACACACTGAATTCTCAGGTACTTTATCAACATCAGGCCACAACAACTCTGGCGACACATCTGTCCCGTATGTATTCTTGATTTGTTGAATGAACTCTTTGTCTGATAGAAGAGAGACATATGCTCGGCAAATCACGTCAGAGAGCAAAATATGATTCCATCTTTCAAAGACAGTCACCCCATGTGGTGTCGGTGATTGTAGACTTCTTCGATCTTCGTTAATGGCAAACCTACCATCAATGTGAAATGGAAGCAGGCTTGGAACTGACAAAGGTAGACCGCAGTAGATCTCCCCCTCGCTTTTCTGCAAATCTCTTACATTCAATGGGATAGCTACGGCAGCCTCTGCAGATAGCCCATGTGACTTTCCTTCCTGAGACTGTGCAACAACTGATGCTTGTTTTGAAGTCTTGCATACCACTTTGAAGGTGTTGAAAGAACTCGTATGCTCCTGATTGCCTATTTCATTGATGTGTGGCAATAATTCTGCTCCCCTTGAGGTCAGTTGGAAACGGAATGATTCAGTTGACACGACGGTGCCGTCATCCTTCACCCTAGGAGAATGCATGGTCTTCTGTATGGTGAGTAACTCCTCAGCCCTGGTAGGATCGCTAGAATTCTCAGAAAGGTAGAACAGGGAAACCTTCTTCACCTGTTTGGTGAACACCAGGAGGTTTTGTGATGATTCCCACATTTTCTGCATCAGGTTGATCAGTTTCTCCCCATCGTAGCTCTCCTTGCATATTTGGCTTTTCTGTGCAGCTTCTTTAGAACGGAGGGGCAGTCTAAAGAGTGTTCCGTTGTAGTTGAATGGCTCATTTCCTCCACTGAAATCGAGCCCAAACACTCCCTTGAATGGCTTGAACTGATCTGGGAATCTCCGGAGTGCTTTGGTGCTATTCAATCTGAGACGTACACCAGGTTGACTCTTGTCCCGGAGAACGTTTCCAAGGTGTGTGGTATGAGGGTCGAAACACTGCATGTAGTTCCTACTAACCAAACTTGGAACATCAGTTAGGCGGTACACCGAGTTGAAACCGGTCCCAAACTTCCCAATCTTTTCAGCGTCCTTTTCTTTGGTACGCCCTCCAAGACAGAGAATGTTTTCAAAGTCTTGGTCTGTGAACACGGCATCGTTGTATACCCAAAGGGCTGGTCCCTGACAAGACCTCATTTCAGGATCGAATAATTTCAGATTTGCATTTTCGTTTTTTCTCATATCAATGAGAAAGCGAACTTCCTGAGCTCCTGCATCTTCCGCATTTTGTATCATTTCACTAATGATGGCGGTGTCCACATAGTTGTTCTTGAGAATATTCCACAAGCGCATAGTTAAGGGTTCATGTTGCCCAGCTGGTGTGAAACCCTGCAATTCTTCTGTATCTAGAAGAAGTCGACTGACAGGTCGTACATGGAGGAATATTGCAAGTTCCATTGAGATATCTAAATGAATCAAAGTAAAATCTTCACCGTCATCCATCTCCTCATTGTCAGTGCTTTGTCTCAACCACTCTCTGTCCACGTATGCGCTCTCATCAACTGGAATGAGATGACATTTTCCTCTTTGCGATGGAACGAGTAAGCGTGCCCGAGCTTCTTCTGAGAGCTCTCCTGCGGCGTGTAGATGGTGAAGGATCTGCAGTACAAGTTGGCGCTGTCCTTGTTGGAAGGCTTCATCAGTTTTTGAATCGCCACATCTTTTCTTGATCTCATGCAGTATGTCAACCAGGGCATTGGAATTTGCTGCCATGTTTTTTTCAACTCCGAGCGCTTCAAACAAGTCTGCAAATGCAATAGTAGATTGCGGAATAGATGCCATGTAAGGAGCTAGATGAAATGGAAGTTTTACCGCACACATTTTGCTTGGTTCTGAAAAGCCACTTCCATTCCAGATACAAACTTTAGCTCGATTGAGGATGAGGTTCTTGGTGTTCTTGTCCTGGCGCCACGCTTCCATTAGAAATGAATAGATCTCCTTAAGCATTGGTACTATATCAGTAACATCTTCCCCAGTTCTCTCTTCTGCATACCTGACACAGTCTTCGAACTGTGTCATGACATCCGAAATTATTGGAGATGAGATATTCATTCCAATCTTTGTGTAGACTGTAGAGAAACGACTCTCGTCCTCCTGGGAAGTAAAGCATTTAGAGGCTCCACATGTCAGTACAGCTAGCTTCTTTTCCCTCAGAATTTCGTGGGGAGTTGACAGTCTCGTAGAACGTTTACCATACCACTCAATAGCTAAGGGGTAATACTCTGGAGGAGACTGTCGGCAAGGAATGCATTGCTTCTGTTTCATATGATCAATGACAGATTTTTCGAGAAGGCTTTGGTTACTTGTGAGGAGCTCTAGTAGTGTTCGAGCCTTTTCTGGGCTTTGAGATTCAGCAACCATCTCAACACATGTAATCAACTCGGATGAAGTAACTTCACTTGGTCCACGCATGCCAAGCTGTTTGAAAGCTTCTATGACCTGAGGTGAATCAAATGGTGCCATCGGAAATACTCCTTGAGAGGCAAATAGTTCGTCAAGCAATGGATCCCTTGGATCAAGGAGTTCACAGGGAGACAATAAAGAATTAGCCTTGTTGGGGATGAATTTCATATGACGCAGAATGTCTACGCTGGACTTGCAGTTGGCTTTGATATCTTTCCAGTGCTCCATTATCCACTGCAAGACGAGCTGTTTTTCTTGCTTGGAGTACAACTGCCCTTCATGAACTTCTTCCAAGACATTCATTATCACCTGATATTTTGATAATAGACAGACTTCTAACTTCTGTAGCAGACATTTAGATTTTGTTCTTCCATTGATCAAGAGCCCCTTGAGCTTCAATGGAGCAGGAATATCGTCTTGGCAACATTCGATGTACCCTTCGCATTGTTCAATACTGACCAAAGGTTTGTTTGAATTTCCGGTTCCATCGACTCTTTCAAATAGTGGTAGACAACTTAGAAGTTTCTTACCATCATGGGAGAGTTTTGCCTGTGCAAGATATTCTACGAGAACATCTCTATCAATGGTGGAGAAGGAATGGAATATCTGGACCAGTAGTTCAACATCTGAAAGCAGAAGGCATTTAACTACCCCTTCTGATGTTGGCATCTTGATATATTCGTCACGCATGATAGCTGGATGGCGGAGAACATAATCAGGACAGTTTGTGACTGTCACTCCAATCTGTTGTAGAATGTTTGCCAGATCATTTGTCAATGTGACACTTTGGTGACTTCTCTGGATAATTCCCGACTTTGGGCACAGTGGTAGTAATCTTCTACCCTCACCATCGGCCTCAAACAACGGTAGAAGATGGATACCTTCAAAGAGTAGTAACTTACTTGAACTCTCTCTGTACAGCATTGACCAGACCTTTTCAAGCCATGTATTTAGAGAAGGCCCGTCTGTGTCTTGTACCCAGGTCCCTTGATCGTCTATCCGAGTTTTCATACTGGTCTTCAAGAGCTCTGCTACTGCATCAAGGGTTAATGCTTTCAGCTGATAACGCCCATCTGCATATGAAATAAAGAATATTTACAATTGTTAATTTATTTACACAAAAGTTAATCGTTTCTGTATTTGCTATGCCTCTATTGTTGAAGTTATTCGATAAACTGTCAATAAAGGTTATGAAAACATTCCCATGAGGTCGTATTTGGCATCACTTTTAAATAGTAGGAAAATATAGGAATTAAGTTCCGACGATGCCCGACTAAAGAATTGAGGCTATGCACAATCCGCTCAAATATTTTGCCCATTTTTAAAAGTTAATCTATCCAGTTTGCACCAATGAATGTACTTTTGTGATACAATCTAGTAAATCGAACGAAAACAAATCAAAGAAATGTGCTTGCGGCAGTTTTTACAGGAAAGTGGTTGACACTTTCCCCCCCCCCCCCCTTCCCATATATCAGTGGACTAACTCATTCCATTTTAAGGATTAAAACCTGATTTTCAGATACCTAACTGTATACTTTCTATTCGAAGGGAAAATGTCTACATAAAATTGTGACGAAATTAACATAATCATTCCAGCTGTAATTAACAATCTCTAAGTTTATCCCAAATGAGGCCACTTTTAATCATAATCTATGTTGCTGAATTTCTCATCTTTACCCAAGGTAATTCGGTTAGAGGATAAAATAATGAAAACCAAAACACACCCATATTGGACAGGAGTTGATGAAGCGGCTTGTCCTCTGGTACCGTTCTGATGAATTGATGATTTCCTCCTGGTACAAGCTGTCGGTGGAACTTGGTGGTTGGTATGTACACTTTCTTTTCATCAGAACTCGAGAAGACGTGGACGCTTCCGTCATCGAGAGGAAGAAGACATACTCCTTCCAGATCCTGTCTGGCGTCCTCTCGCAAGATGAACTCAAGGATCAGAAGCTTCTCATCAGCATTGAGCTTGGTCAAAATCGCAGGATCTTCACGGAGGCAACGGCAAAGGCTGGAAGCAGAAACAGTGGATATCTGATCTTTGTAGAACTTCCTGATGGCCTGTCTGCACACATTGGGAACCCTTGCGTATGCAATGCCTTTGATGTTGAAACACTTGAGGATGGCCTTTTCCATATCTTCATCCACATTCAATTCGTTGAAGTGGACGTCGGCGATGTTCATCCACCCATTGTTGTCGCTATGTATGATAGTTTCCTGGAAGAGAGCATTGTAGAATGGTTCCAAGAGAATGTCCCAGTTTCCACGAACCTCTTCATGATCTGGCCACGATCGATAGATGCAATCGGCGGTCACTTTGTCCTGGGAGGTGTGACTACTAATGGCGTATTTGATCGCGTCGACATATACAATCGGAATAAGTTCTCTCACAAGAAGTTGGTTCCATTGTGCTGGAATGTCCGTTTGGTCAGGTCCGGGCCACTTGATCCCGCGGCGATCGCTATTGACAGCAAAGAATCCATGCACATGAACTGGTAAACCCGTCCGACTCTCCTCACCAGGTGGCAGGGGAAGAAAGCAGAACACTCTACCAATGTTGTTATTCTCTGCTTCACCTGTTACATTTCTTGGCTCTGAAGAACTTACGGGAATAGCAACAGCTGCCCACGGGAGATGACTTTGCTTCTTGGCCAAATCGGAAAGTTCTCGACACATGCTATCACCCGCGATATGATGACTAACAATCCAGCGTCGTGCCTTGGATGCCGTCGGTGTTTCGGTAGTGAATGTCACACAATCAATCATCTTGATTGGCCCTCTGCGCCCACTGACATCAGAGCAGTAAGTTTCTAGATGTGAAGAAAATTCCTTTCCCGGTGGATGTGTTTCTGGATCGTGTTCCCTTCGAACTCGTACAACTAGTGATGGCTCTTGCAGACCGGATGGCCTCTTTAACACCTCGATGTTATTCAAAGAGCGCAAAAATAGCATAGCAACATCAGCATCGGCTCGAAAAGCCAGGAGGAGCTCGCTTAATGTGCCTTCATCGCTGTATATTTTGTCACTTAAACTATTTGCGGCATGCCGCAGAGGAAATCTAAACAACGTGCCGTCGAAATATCCCGTCGAAATCCCTCCTGTTACTCCGGGAAATATGTTGTGGTACGGTTGAAACTGGTCTTCGTTCTTCGAGAATATGTCGCTGTCGGATCCGAGACCAAATTGCCATCCAGTTTTGACTCTACCACGCTTGTCAAAAAATGTTCCTCTAATGGATCAATGAATGCCAGCTTTTGGTCGCTCATGATGCTCGGTAAATCTGAAAAGTAATCGAAAGGGTGATAATTAATAAGTATAAAAGTAATAAAACAATAATGCTTGCAATGCTAAAAAAGTATATGAAAGTAAATAACACAATCCAGGCGCATACCCCCCCCCCCTCAATTTTTTTTGTTTTTTTTGTGTATGTTTTGGAGGAACCCCCCCCCCCTCACCCCTCTTTTTTGTTTTAATTAAAAAATTAAAAAACGAGAATTGTGCTAATGGGTGACCCAAAAAAGGTGACATTACCCACCACCCCCCCCCCCCCCCCCCCCAACGGAACGAAATATCGATCGGCCAGATTTTCGAATTTCGGGACAATTTTTTTGCTGTTACCATCTTTTTTCAGCAGCTTTGTCTGAAAGGACCAAACTCGCCAGTAACTACTTATGCTCTGACTTTTCAAACTCACTTAGTGTCATCTTAGAATAGCAAGTATTTACTTCACCCTACAAAGATAAACCACTTTCCATTTAAAAAAAACACGCACATTTCAATAGCCAATAGGCGCCGGGAAACAATTCCAGAGTATCAAGACATTTCCCTCAGGAGCGGCTAAACTACTCTGATCTATAACGAAACGACTTTTAGGGGTCTTTATTTGCGGCACAGGCAGGGGCGTTGCCAAAGGGGGGGGTGTGGGGGTGCGACACCCCCCCCCCCCCCCACCTGTCAGGATATTGTCGGTAAAATTGCGCTGCCGTCGGGAAAAAGAGGAAAGGGTGAGGGAATAAAAGAGAGGGGGAAAAGAGAGGGAAAAAAGAGAGGGAAAGGAAAAGAAAAGAAAAAAAGAAAAGGAAAAAGAAAAGAAAGAAAGGAAAAGAAAGGAAAGAAAAGAGAAGAAAGAAAGAGAAAAAAGAAAAAGAGGGAGGAGAGGAAAGAAAGGAAAAGAAAGAAAAGGAAAAAAAGAAGAAAAAAGAGTGAAAGGGAAACAATAGAAACGGGGGGGGTGAAAGAGAGGAGAGAGAGGGGAGGTAAGAGTCTGAGAGTGGGAGTAAAAGAGAGAAGGGGGTTGTTGGGTAGAGTCGTCTCGTCGAGGGAGCAAGAAAGACACGGGTAAATGTGTTGCTATGTCGGGTCAGCTTTGTCGGTATTCTTGCTCGATCCTCGTGTACTATATCAATGCAGAAGTTTGAAGTCGGTGAGATGTATATTGTCGGTCGACCGACAATATACATCTTTCCCTACGAACTGTGACTTCTTATTCGCTGTGACGACTTCGCGAGTGACTACAACTACAATACTTGTATTTTCTCGAAGTTTCACTTTCCTATAATATCAGCTAAAGAAATCAGAGGTTTAAAACTTTCGAGGAAACTAAATTCAAACAAGGTGTTAGAGTCAACAACGGTACGACGAATCGTCTTCCTTTCTTTTGTGATGAAAAGCCAAAAATTCCGCGCTTCGCGTGGAAGGGAAAACTTAATTTAGACGAGTCGAAACAGTACAACGAATTGTCTTCCTTCTTTAATAATTTAAGGAAACGTCAAAGCTTTCGCGCTTCGCGCGAGTGGGGGAAACTGAATTCAGATGAATAGGGCTTAATAAGAGTCGAAAACGGTACGATGTATCGTCTTCCTTTCTCTATATTGTGATGAAACGCCAAAAATTCCGCGCTTCGCGCGAAAGGGGAAAACTTCATTTAGACGAGTCGAGAACGGTACAACGAATCGTCTTCTTTCTCTAATAATTTAAGGAAACGTCAAAGCTTCCGCGCTTCGCGCGAGAGGGGAAAACTGAGATCAGACAAAATTAATAGGGCTTATTTAGAGTCGAAAACGGTACAACGAATCGTGATCTTTCTCTTGACAGTATCTGCGCCAAAAATTCCGCGCTTCGCGCGGAAGGGGAAACTTCATTTAGACGAGTCGAGAACGGTACAACGAATCGTCTTCTTCTCTAATAATTTAAGAAATCGTCATAGCTTCCGCGCTTCGCGCGAGAGGGGAAACTGAATTCAGACAAAATTAATAGGGCTTATTTAGAGTCGAAAACGGTACAACAAGTCGTGATCTTTCTCAAATAATATGAGGAAACGTCAAAGCTTTGACGGGGAAACTGAAGTCAGATGAAAAGGGCTTATTAAGAGTCGAAAACGACGAATCGTCTTCTTTCTCTAATAATTTAATGAAACGTCAAAACGGGAGGGGGAAGCTTCATTCAGATAAGGATTAAGTGTCGAGAACAGTACACCGAATCGTCTGCTTTTTCTCATAATTTAATGAAACGTCAAAGCTTCCGCGCTTCGCGCGAGAATGGGAAACTGAATTCAGACAAATAGAGCTTATTAAAAGTCGAAAACGGTGCAACGAATCGTATTCTTTCTCTAATAATTTGAGGAATAGTCAAAGCTTTCGCGCTTCGCGAACCGAATTCAGATGAATAGGGCTTATTAAGATTCGAAAACGAACGAGGAATCGTCTTCCTTTTTCTATATTGTGATGAAACGCCAAAAATTCCGCGCTTAGCGCGGAAGGGGAAAACTTCATTTAGACGAGTCGAGAACGGTACAACGAATCGTCTTCTTTCTCTAAAATTTAAGAAAACGTCAAAGCTTCCGCGCTTCGCGCGAGAGGGGGAAACTGAATTCAGACAAAATTAATAGGGCTTATTTACAGTCGAAAACGGTACAACGAACCGTCTTCTTTCTCTACTAATTTAAGGAAACGTCAAAGCTTCCGCGCTTCGCGCGAGAGGGGAAAACTGAATCCAGACAAAATTAATAGGGCTTATTTAGAGTCGAAAACGGTACAACGAATCGTGTTCTTTCTCTAATAATATGAGGAAACGTCAAAGCTTTCGCGCTTCGTTCCCCCCCCCCCACCCCCCCCCCCCCTCCCCCCACTGAAAAAGTTCTAGCGACGCCCCTGGGCACAGGCAGGGGGTGAGGTGGTATCACCGAGGTGGTATCACCAAAGTGAAATATTGTGAGAATATTAACTAGGTCATCATGGGAACGTGTCTATATGTTGTGTGCTTCCATTTTGTCGTATATGTATCTTTTTGTACTTATCGTTCTTACCTGTTATGTGGTACACGGAGTTGAATCCAATGCCGAAACGTCCAACCTTCAGGCGATCCGTCTTCTTGTTGCTGCGGGCAGGTTTCTGAATCCCATCCCAGTCGGCTTTCTCGAACTTGGCATTGTTGAAGGAGTAGAGGGCTGGACCTTGGTAAGGCTTTAGGGAATCTAGGTACAGTGTCTCGGTCCCATGGTGCCGTACGTCATACAGGAATTTGACAGTATCTGCGCCGGCATCCTCGGCGTTCTGAACAAGCTCCTGCAAAGGCAAAGCAGCGTCAATTTACTAGGACATGTGCTCTTTAAAAAAAGTCTATGACCATGTACACTAAACTTGTTCTCTTCACGTTTCGAAACCTTAAATTAATGGTAAACCACCATTCTCACCACCTCCCTCTCGGGGATCGGACTAGTATGTAAGAAGTTAAGAACATAACTGACTCGAACCTTTTTTTGTAATGATTTTTTTGGTAGTAGTTTAAAGTCTATATGAAGCCAAAACAGCTGCATGTAGTACATGGTCAATACATATTAGTCAATACACTGCAGTAGCGGATTCCGGGGGCCGAAACGGCCGCCCCCCTCTATTGGCGGCGCAAAAAAAGGGAAGGAAAAAAAGAGCAAGAAAAGAAGAGGAAAAGAAGAGGAAAAGAAGAGGAAAAAAAGGAGAACAGAAAAAAAAAGGAGAACAGAAAAAAAAGGAGAACAGAAAAAAAAGGAGAACAGAAAAAAAGGAGAACAGAAAAAAGGAGAAGAGAAAAGAAAGGAGAAGAGAAAAGAAAAGAGAAGATAAAAGAAAAGAGAAGAGAAAACAAAGAAGAGAAAAGAAACGGAGAAAGAGAAAACAAAAATAGCCCCCCCCCCCCCCCCACCCTCCCACTCCGGAGTCGGAGGGACCGAATTCATGTTCCCAAAATCTCAGGTAAAGGGGTACTTTTCACGCAACAAAGTCCGGCTCGTAATACACAAAAATCCGGCCTGTACTGACTTTACACACCGGAGATACGGGTGCTTTCAAAGAGAGGGAACATGCATACGCGTACCCTAGATAACGCTGAGTGGGGGGGGGGAAGAAAAGTCGGGTGAGAAAGGTGGAAAGACAAGGAAATGGCGCTTAGTGACAGTAACGATGAATAAGGGAAAACTGTAATCGGGAGATTTGGGGGTCATTCCAGAAGGCCTGGGAAACGTTATTGAATAGAGGGGACCGGCCGCATGAGATTTTTTTCATTTCTCCTAACATAATTGTGTGCTTTCACAATCATGTTTGTTTTATTTGCCCTTAAAAGCAGGCGCGTAGAAAGAGTCGAGAATGGAACAACGAAACATCTTCTTTCTCTAATAATTTTATTAAACTATGAAAGGTCGGAGCTTCCGCGCTTCGTGCGGGAGGGGGGACAAAATTCAGACAAGGAAAAAAGGTCGAGAATGGTACAACGAATCGTCTTTTTTCTCTAATAATTTCATTAAAGTTTGAAAGGTCAAATCTTACGCGCTTTGCGCAGGAAGGGGGAAAACTGAATTCAGACAAGAAATAGGAGTCAAGAATGATACAACAAATCGTTTTTTTTTTTCTAATAATAATTAATGAAAAGTCAAAGCTTCCGCGCCTCGCGCGGGCGGGGAAAAACTGAATTCAGAAAAGGATTAATAGTCGAGAATGGTACAACAAATCCTCTGCTTTCTCTAATAATTTAATGTAACATCAAAGCTCCCACGCTTCGCGCGGGAAGGGGGGGGGAAACTGAATTCAGACAAGGATTAAGAGTCGAGAATGGTACAACGAATCGTCTTCTTTCTCTAAGAATTTAATGAAACATCAAAGCTTTCGCGCGTGATAAGGGGAGGGGGGGGGAACGGCGAGGTGCCCGAATATGAATTTTTGATATCTTCTCTCGTTTATCTTGCTGATAAATAACACTTTCACAAAATACATATTATACTCAAATTTTTGCTTGCTCGTTTCGCTCATTAGCCGAATTGTGAACCAGAAAATTTACTTTTTTGGGCAAGAGGCTTCAGCCCCCCCCCCCCCCGATGAAAAGGTTAAAAAATTGCATAACTTTACAACGGGGAATGTTGATATCGGACAAGAAACGTGACGTGAACCTGCCCCCCCCCCTTCCAAAATCGTGCCTGCTTGAAGGTACCGGTATGGTGCTTCTAATATGACCTTGTCATTATTGGTATGTTGAGTTGAAAAAACGGTCTGCGCATTTTTAAAATTATGTTACTTTTGCTATTTAAAATAATTGCTCTTTGATAAGTGCCTCTTTTTACCTGTATTTCCCCTGCCACTTATAAATTGTGCCCTTTTGTGGTTATCACAAATGCCATATCTAGTTTTAAAGTATCTGTACCCTATTTCTACCACAACAATGAACGGTAGTGCAGCCGGGGCGACAATGCTCCAAATTTCATGAATTTCATTTTTCAGAAATTTTGAGTATTTTAATGATCCTTCGGTGAATCCCAATATAACTAGGAAAGTAGTGAATGGTTTACCTTTATGATCTGGCCGTCACTATATTCCCTTAAAATGGTCTTTAAGTAGTCTACTAAAGGTGGAACGGATATCCCGAAATCATCTGGAAAAAAAAAAGAGAAGAGAAATTGTGGAATGTATTGAAATACGATTGTTTCTAATATATATCTGGTCATAAATAAAAAGAAATTAAAAATATATAAAAATACAAACACACGAAAATGTTTGTACCCCTTATTCTGGAAAATATTGTTTGTAAAATGTTTGGGATTTTATAGCACATAACCAGAACAGAAAGTAGAAAAGACTAGTCCTCACAAAAGAAAATTCCTCTTTTGCTTAAGTGTCAAAATTAACTTATTATTTTCCTTCCCAATACTCTCATCAAGCAATGGTCTTAAGTGGTCTCTTGCCATTTTTTTCTCGGAATGGTTTTATGCATGTTAAAAGAATTCTACGTTCCGACTCTTACATTGTAATTGACATTAATAAATACTGTTATTATATATATAATGATGACTCTAATTTCAATTATCCCCTAAAAATAAAGAAACAATAAAACAAAGATCACCGAGATTGACAGAGGTGATGTTTTGAATCCAAGAAAAACCTCTCCGCCTCTAAATGACAATATGGACCTAACCAAGATAGATATATGTTTCATTTTACTAAGCTAAAAATTATCCTTTTGTGAGGGCGTAATTTATGAATCTGTTAAAATGAGTTGTACTCACGGTCGTTGTCTTCTCTCTCCGCCTGTAAATGGGAATACAACGAAAAGAAAAAGATGAGGAAAATACAGAATAAACCAAACCAGAAGATATTATTAAAACACAATTCAAACTGCAGTCAGATTATAATCAGATGCTCTGACTCTATTAAAGACAAGCTATCGTGGAGCCACTTTCATTGGGGAGAGGGCGGCCACAAGGCCTACTCAGAAAAAAATGATCTACTACTAAACAACGACTAGTTTTCAACAACAACAAAAATCTAGTTTTATTTGTTCCACTTTTTACCAAAATATAGATATACATTTTGTTTTTAAATAAAAAATAATAATATATAAAAATATTTTTTGTCAAAAGTGCCGCAACTTTGGATGGCCCCTCCGCTTTAGGGCCTAGGTACAAATGAGGAGGGGAGCATAGGGGGCATTTGCCCCAGGAATCGTATCATAAAGAAACAAATGAAAAAAAAGAAGCGGGTAAAAGTAGGGTGATCACACTGCCTGTGCACACAGTCCGCACCATGCACACACACACAACAGCAGTCAGTTGGTAGAAATAGCAATTTTTGTAAATTTATTTTTAAAAAACTAAACAATATTTTAAAAAAATTATTTCACATATATTTCAAGCATACCTTTAACTACAATTCGGTGTAGTTTCATTGTTATAGGCATGTGGGAAATATGTTAAATTATTTAATTAGAATATTGTCTTTTCAGCCATGTGTGACATGGCCCGCTGATCGCCCATTGACTTGCACTGTTATTCTGCGTTGTGGAAATTCACCTCAATGTATAAAACTCCCCTACAAAAAATGCAATATTCTCATGTGTTTCACTCATTGAATCTATTTGTTGTTTACACTCAAGGTAGCCACAAC